ACTATGATATATATATATATATATATATATATATATATATATATATATATATACAAATATATATATATATATATACGAATATATATACTTATTTATATATATTCGTATATACGTGTATACTATATAAATAAGTATAAATAAGTGTATATATATATATATATATGTATTAAAAAATACACATAAATGAAGGTTCATTCAATACATATTTAAATGTATTAACAAACACACATGAATCAAAGTACATTAAATATAAGAGATTTTGAATTAAATGACCCTAAAATGGGTATTTATGTTTTTTTAACTTACATTTTGTTCTATGTACTTTTTGTCAAATAAGTTTAATTAGATGTAGCGGTTTCCAAAGAACCCTTGAAGTTTTTATTGGGGCTCAAATGATATGACACTAATCAAAGAAGTTAAAGTCAACTGTCATGTCATTTGGACTCTAAATTTAGTCCCAAAATTTGATTAATCTAGCATTACTGTTTCTTAAATGGTAGTGTGTATCTAAAGTTTGTATTGTTAATCACGCGTGATTGTGACACTACTCTATGACAAAAGAATAAAAACAAATTAAATATTTTAATAAAAATCCAAGAACTCTATCCTCATTAAACTAAAAGCAAAAAGAAATAAACAAATATAACTGAAAATGGAAACACAACCTTAAGATGCAATGCTTAAATAGGTATTAATTTCAATAGATGCGAGGTTCCAGGTGTGAATCAATTTAAGTAGTTGAAGGAACAATGTGAAAAATTTAATAGTTTAACGGATAAAAATGAATTAAGGTCATAGTTGAATTGGTCAAAGTGTAATTTAGTCTCATCTTAATATGAAGTAAGGTCCAATATTAGAAGTTTAAACACATTTCCTTAGACATTTGTGAGAGGGCGACTTCATGTTACATTTCACGAAAAGTTAGTAGTGAGATGCCGTTAACAATATTTTTTCTGCATTTTTTTGGTCGATTATCTATTGTATATTTATGTTGGACCCATTATATTTAGGTGCAGAGGCAGATTTAGTGTTGGGGCAGTGGGGGTAGCTGCCCTCGTTGGAATTTTAAAAAATTTTGGGTCCTAGGTGACTTTTTGAAAATTTCAAAAATTTCTGAATCTTGCCTTTATTAAAATTTACATAAAGTATATGTGAGGTTAGTGTAATTTTTAAACCATTAAACATAACTTTTACCATTCACTCATTTCACGCCTTTTACTAGTATGAACGTCTTCTTATTTCGAACTTGGGTTTCTGCAATTCTGCTTTTTTTCATTAATCCTCATTTCTTTCGTTCCTTTGATTTCTTGGAAGTTTTAGTGTATCTATATAATAAAGTACCTTACAGTTCAAATTTTAAAAGATAAAAAAAATAATTTTTATTTTTTGCGGTTTAGATCAGTTTAAATTTTACTTTAAAGTTAATATAACGATTAATATAAATACCTTAAATTTAATAGAAAAAATAAGCCCCTAAAGTGTGTTTGTAGTGACTTTTTAAAAATACATCTACGAATTATTTCTCATAAATACTTTAAAAAAAAAATAGTGTTTGAAACCGTCCCACCACTACCACTATCTCTACCACCACCACCACCACCACCATCGCCACCACCGTAGCCTCCACCACCACCAGCACTGTTGTCGCCATTGCCGCCACCGCCACCGCCACCACCATCATCGCCACCCTTCCCTCACCACCACCACCACCACCTTCGTCGCTTCTACCACCACCGTCTTCGCCTCTACCACCATCGTCGTCATAGTCGTCGCTGTCGCCATCACCACCACCACCACCATCGCCACCACTGTCATTGCCCCTCACCACAACCGTCATCGTCTCCTACCACCACCACTGCCGCCCACTACCTCTCACCCCTACTGTAACTGATGCTTAAATTCATTTATCTCTCCTTTATATTTGTGATTTGATTTTGGATATGAATATAAATATGTTTGTGTTTACCATTTTGTATTACTCTGTATCTTCAGGCACATGCAATAACTAGTCCATCAATAAATCAACTTACTTGGTTGTTGGTATTAGGTATATAGCAACAATTATCTCGCAAAAACCACAAGAACAAGACTCAAGAAAAACAAAACAATTGCTGATTTTTGTTGTAGTATATCACTTTAATTTTAACACAAAATGAAGCATGAACAAGACAAAATCTACTGTAGTGAATCACATAAATTCCACTCCAAAAACTTGTCTATTTCTTTTAAAAATTCAGTACAACAAGACCCGTATACAACAGAATTATATCTGAAATTTCAGCAACAAATACACACAAGTATTATATTATTGTGGATTTATGGATTATATTTTGATTATGTGTAGTACATTATGTCATTCGTTACAAACTTAATGACAAACTATTAAATTTGAATCTAAGTAGACAAATTTATTTTTTAATCAGTTATGGATAGGTTATTGTAAGAAAATCAACATTGGAACAATCGCCTCCTAGTCAAGAAATAGATAATCTTTTAATGTGAAGTCTATTTTGTTGCCTTTTTTTGTACATCACTCATATATACGAGTTGCGTATTTAAATGACATTTTTTTTTTATAGAACTATACATAACAAAAATGTTTATTAAGAATATACATTTGGATGAAAATAATGTAGCATTTATAGTTTAAATTTAGAAATTTTAGGTTGCTCCCACTAAAACAAAATACTAACTTTGGCTCTGGCTCTGGCTCTTGCTCTGTCCCTGTCCAAATGGGTAGATTAGTCTTCTTTTTAGCTCACCAAAATTTATCCCTCCAAAACTAAGAGTAAAAGTAGATGAAAAGTTAATTATGTGTTATAATGTATGTGATTTATTTTTATATCCTTTAAAATATGTTTATATCTTATTTATTTATTACATATTATTGCACATTAATTTCATATATATATATATATACACACACATACAATGGTAAAATATACCTCTATAATTTTTTCCATCTTACCAAATAAAAGGAGAGGAGGAAGAATTCCTTTCTCAAATGATAGAAATGTACAAGTCCCACTTTTCATTATTCTATTTTATAGCTACCCTACTAAACACACTATAAAACATGAAGAAAGAGAGCATTGTCTTCAGGCAAGAAAACTCTTGTTTTGTCCTTAGAATAAACGCAACAAGCCGTAGAAAAGTATCTATGTTCTTTCCTCAACCACTCCTCCAAGAAACTTCCTGCAACTTTTTTCACATAATCTCTACCACAATAATGTTCACTACTTGTCATTTTGGACATACAAACAATGACAATATAGATTTCTACAATATCCTTGTATTTATAGCCTTTATCCTCTCTATTTCCTCTTCAAAAAGTGAAAGTACACCAATCATCAACACATCAGACAAGTTAACTTCACCATATTTGAAACCTTGGCACCATCATCAACATGTCTTCTGTCAACTCCAAGGACTTGCACCGGATTTTTGAGAAGCTTGACAAAAATGGTGATGGCCTAGTGAGCCTTGATGAGCTTAAATGGCTTCTTGAGAAAATAGGCATCCACCCGAGCCTAGACGAGCTCGAGTTATCAATGGGGACAACAACCCTCGACCTTATTGATTTCTCGCTCTTCTACGACACTATCATCAAGAGTAATATTGATAAAAGCAAAGCAATTGAGGAGGGTAACGACATGGATAGTGAACTTGTTGAGGCTTTCAAGGTCTATGATTTGGATGGAGACGGATTTATTTCATGCGAGGAGCTTCAAAGCGTGTTATTGAGATTAGGATTGTGGGACGAGCATGATTAATGTTTATGATTCAAATTCCGATGGGGTGCTTGATTTCGAGGAGTTCAAGAACATGATGTTGCCTGCCAAATCATAGGATGTTTCCAGGAACAAATGTTTGATATTTGTACTATGATCGTGATGATCAGCTAGATTCAGTCTTTGAATACTACATTTTGTAATTATTGCTGCTACGTACTATATGCCTTGTTTATATTGTAATTAGTGACTAATATGAAATCATATTCCTAGAATTGTTACACTAGCATGTCAATTGTTTGCGGTTCATGGTATATTGTTTGAAATATTAAACACAGTTTCTAGGTTCAAATGTGAGGGTGGTGAGAGACATTTGAAAATTATGAAAAAAGTTGACTGTTCTTGAATTTTATCAATTTCGGTCCAAATAAACACATTTTGTTACCTTCATTGGTCATCTTAATGTCAATGGATAAAAATCTGTGAACGACTAAACTTAACCAAAATAAGCAAAAATTTAAAATAATAATATTATTTGAACTTAATTTATTAACCTAATTCATTACAATCCCTAAGTTCATAGCAGATAACGCTGGGGTCCACTGTCAATCCCATGATTATGTGATTAAGTTAGTAATTAGATCAGTAAATTAGATTCAAATAGTATTACTAATTAAAATTAAGGGGATGCAAATGTCTTAAGCACGTACATGATCAACTCCTCAAAACAAAGTCTTTAGACTAATTCTACCATAATGTTTTCTAAGTAATTTTATTGAGTCACAGTTGACAGTTTAAAGGTTTTTTCCTTTTCTGATTTTCCTTCTTTCTATAGTCCCCCCTCTCTCTCTCTTTATAGAAGTTCCTTAATGATAAAAACCACAAACATCACATTAAAGGAAGTGGGATCCCCTACATTATATCATTTTCCAATTATCTTCTTAAAGATCATTTATCGTGAATTCAAATGTGATCTATTATGTACAAGTGAGTCTCTCACTCATTAATAATAAATGAATTACCAGGACAGAAATTAAAGGAAAAAAAAATTGGAGGGAATCTAGATCTAAGTTTAAGAATAGCCTCCATAATGACATCTTTTCCTCGATATGGTTTCTCTCTCTATATTGTTAAATAGTCATGTATTCCAAAATCTTTAATTGTTATAGAGGGTGTAATTTAAGTATTTATATTTCAATACGTCCCCTCACGTACATGCTAGATTTTGGACCCAATATGTAGAAATTTTTTAATAATTAGCATGACGAAGAGATTCGAATACAAGACCTTTTGTTCTGATACCACGTTAAACAATCTTCTATTCCAAAAACTTAAGTTATTGTTAGAGATGATATAAATTAAATATTTATACTTCAACATATATCTCTCTTGTTTTGTGAAGGAGATTTTCAATTGTGTGTTTGCACACAGTGGGACTGAGTCTCCTCTTGAACCTGTCCAAGAGATGTATCCTAGTGATTTTTCGATGCATGTAGGATGGGGAATTGTATATACTCCATATGCGTAGTTTAGTACTCTAAGAGGCTGAGATTCCCCCGAAATTGTGCAAACACACATGTGCCACTCCTTAGCCATCGCCAAAGTGGACCACATACATAATGGAACTAATCTTCCTAGAAATTATAAAGGTTGGCATTAACTGTTTCCACCACGGGTTCATTAATGGTATCATGCATAGGTTGACAAATAATTACAGATATAATCACCTGATTTTCTAAATTTGACCCTGGACAATGATATAATTGTTTCCGGGTTTGGCTACCGTATCCAAAAATTTTTTTTGGTATTGTACCTACAAAAATAAAATTTACTATTTTAATAAGTATTTTTATAATTTTTGTGAGTCATTTTAAAACCAAAAAAATTATCACTTTTATGAGTGATTTACCATATTTGTGGGTGTTTGTAACACTATTGTGGTAATTATTTTTATTATTTTTTTTGGTACCACAATAGTAATAAAAATACCTATAAATATAACAAATATCGGTACAAGCAGGGGATGGAGGGTTGTGAGGAGAGATGAGGGTTGCGATGGGGTTGGGGGACTACAAACAGGTATGGAGCCAAAATCAATCTACCAAGATAATTTATTCTGAAAAGTAATTTAATTCAATCAAATTTCAGATATCAAAATCTAATTTTCAAGAAAACAAAAATTACGAGTCCAATTATTGAGAGAGCATTGGCCGAGAGAGAAAAATAGAGAGAGCAGTCAAATAAATGACGACCATCAATCCAAGTTTTGAGCAATGTTATTTAGGTCAAACTTAACATTATTAATTTTAAAGAAAAAATTACACCTTGCCCCGTCTCATATTGACCCTTCATCGATTATAATTATTACATTGCACATTCCACTATGGTTGTTCGTATTTTATTATCTCAATATCTGACCTCTGTCATACATTTGACAAAACATTATTTCACTTTTTCCACCAAGCTATATGATTTTGTTCTACTTTGTTTCGACCCTTGGAGATTTCCTATCTACAATTTGCTTTTGGGAAATTGTGAACTAATTCAAGTAATTGAAAATACAATGTGAAAAACTTAATAGTTCAAGGGGCAAAATAGAATTGAGGCCATAATTAAACCACTCAAAGTGTAATTTATTCTCATCTTACCGTGGAATAAGGTCCAATATTAGAAGTTTAAACACGCTTCACTGATAACATATGTCACGGGATAACTTTCGTTTTTCTTTTGATGCTACCTGTGAAGGCATTGCTATTGCAATCAGCCACATACAAACTCAAGAATAAGTGACAGAAACTTACACAGAATGCACACACAAATTTACTGGGATAAAACTCTCAAACCTTATATATTGAACTCAACAATTTACAAGGACTCTTAAAGCCATAACACACTCTCTCTCTCTCTATCAGAATGTTCAAGCACCCCTATTTATACAGGAGTAAGGCAGATGACACCCCTATCTACCAAGGGGTAGTTACACACGTTTTTGCTATTCCATAGTATACTTGGTTAGGAGGCTTGGTCTCTGTGCAACACTTGGCAGACAGTTCCATCCATATCAGTAACTGATGTGGAACTTTCCTTCATCAGCATGCATTTTGACTGGATTCAGGCTAGGGACGCCCAGAACTGCTTCAGCAACTGCCTTGACTGTGTCTCAGCATCTACAACTGCCCATATCCTCCTGGTCACATGTATTGAGCAGCCATGTGCCCACATTCAGCAGCCAGTCTTGCTTCACAAACCAATGTGCATGCTGGGTTCCACCCATGCCATACAATCCGAAGCTATGCCCCCACATTGCTTCAATTGAGCCCACCACGTGCTGCCATGCTCAACCGGGTGTTCTCATGCTGCCTTGGTTCGCCCCAATCTGTTGAACCACTTAGCCGCGTCACCTTGATTCCAACTTATGGCATGCCTTGGTGCAAGGTGCCACCAAGACCGATCATTTGTACCCAAGTCAGTTAGAGTGTAACAAGCCACCCTCACCTAAAGTATCCAATGACCTCGTTGGAATGGAGGCATGGTATTGCTTGATGAGATCCTCGAACTGCCACAATGTCGTCTCTTTCTCCCAAGTGGCTTCCTCTGGTGCTTTCCCTTTCCACTTGACTAGGTAATGAGTTCTTCTGTTTTTCTTACTCATTCCCTCAGTCTTGTGGTCAAGGATAGCTTCAGCTATTTCTGTGAATTGTTTCTTGATTGTTGGAGGAGCCCGACGTCGAACGTATCTGTTAGGTTCCTCCGGGTCCTCAATATAAGACTTCAAGAAGGCAACATGGAAAATTGGATAAAGCTTGAGACGACTGGGAAGATCTAGCCTATAGGCCAACCTGTCAATCCTCATTGTTATAAGGAAAGGGCCATCATAGCGCTGGATTAGTCCCTTGTGTGCAGACTTTCGAGAGATCTTGTTCCAGATTGGTGGGGTCAATTTCAGCATCACTTTGTCACCCACTTCGAACTCTACTGCCCTCCTATTCTTGTCTGCCCACTTTTTCATCCTCTTCACCGCCTTAGTTAAATATTCTTTTGTCTCGTCGGTCCGCTCCTGATTGGCTCGAGAAAAATGGTATGCTGCAAGTGATCTCCCTTGAGACTTCTGCTTGACAACTTCATGCGGGATAAGAGGCTGTTGGCCAGTTGCCAACTCAAATGGGCTCATTCCAGTGGAAGAGCTATGTTGGAGGTTATAACTGAATTGGGCTACATCAAGTAAATCCACCTAATTGTCCTGGTTCGCTGTGACATAATATCTAAGATATTCCTCTAGCATTGCATTAACCCGCTAAGTTTGCCCATCTGTCTGCGGATGATTGCTGGTGGAAAGGTTGAGCTGTGTGCCCAGTAGTTCAAATAAAGTCATCCATAAACGGCCAGTAAACCGAGTATCCCTGTCGCTGACTATGTCTAGCGGAAGACCCCAAAGCTTCACAATATGCTTGAGGAACAATTGAGCAGTAACTTCTGTCGTACATACTTTTGCAGCAGCAATAAAAGTGGCATACTTCGAAAATATGTCTACAACCACAAATATCGAAGTAAAATAGTTCACCTGAGTCAAGCCATTAATGAAGTCCATGGAAACACTCTCCCAAGGTCTACTTGGAATAGGGAGGGGTTCCAATGTACTCGCCACCTTCTTCCTTTCTATCTTATCTTACTGGCACACCAAACAAGTGTGAACATACAGCTCCACATCTGCTTCCATGCGGGGCCAATAATAGCTTTTTGCAAGCAAGACAAGAGTCCGTTGCTGCCTTGGATGTCCTGACTATAGAGCATCATGAGTTTCTTTCAGCAACATCTGTCGAAGTCCCTCTGACTTCGGAACATAGGGTCTCCTTCCTTTGGCGTAGAGCACACCATCTTCTACCCAAAATCACCGAGTCACCCCTTCATGGACCTGCTTCAACAATAAGCTAGTCACTGAATCATCTTTTGTCTAATCCTGAATTCTCTGCAGTATGTCTCCTACAATCTGGCTAAGTGCAGCGACCGTCCCATCAGCAACTGGGATTCGACTAAGAGTATCAGCAACCTGATTTGCACTGCCAGGCTTGTACTGCAATGTGAAATGAAACTAGGCAAGAAAGTCCTGTCATCTTGCTTGTTTTGGTGTCAGCTTCTTCATGGAATTGAAGCAGCTGGTAGCCACATTATCTGTCAGTACAAGAAAATACTTCCCCAATAAGTAATGTCTCCATGCATTGATGTAGTGAATGACTGCTGTCATCTCCTTCTCATGCACTGAATACCGCCTCTCGGTATCATTCAACTTCCTACTTTCAAATGCCACCGGATGCCCATTCTACACCAGCACCCCTCCAAGAACAAAGTATGATGCGTCTGTATGGATTTCAAAAGGCAAATCAAAGTCAGGTAAACGTAAAATTGGGCTAGACATCACCACCGCCTTCAATCGATCGAATGCCTCCTGGCATTCATAGGACCAGTTCCATATCCTATCCTTCCTTAGAAGATCAGTCAGCACCGCGACCTTTTTTGAATAATTATTCACAAATTTTTGATAATAGTTTGCCAAACCAAGAAAAGAACGAAGTTCAGTAACCTTAGTAGGGACAGACCAATCTGCAATGGCCTCAACTTTCTTTGGGTCCATTTTCACCACGCCCGCAAAAATAATATGCCCAAGGAATAAAATTTCCTTCTGGGCAAACTCACATTTTTCTGGTTTCAGATACAACTGGGCTTTCCTCAACTTTGTCAAGGCCAGCCTAAGATGCTCAACATGCTCCTCAAGAGTCTGGCTGTAAACAACTATGTCGTCCAAATAAATCACCATGAAACGATCCAAGTATTCCCGAAATACGTTGGTCATCAAGTTACAAAATGTAGCAGGGGCGTTGGTTAAGCCGAAAGGCATGACTAAAAACTCATATGATCCATACCTTGTCACACAAGCAGTCTTCGCCTCATCTCCCTCTACAATTCTAACTTGATGATATCCCAGCCGCAAATCCATCTTGGTGAAGAAAACCGCTTTTCCCAATCTATCAAATAATTCGTCAACAAGCGGCACTGGATAATTGTTCTTGATAGTGACTTTGTTGAGGGCTCTATAGTCTACACAAAGCTGTAAGGATCTGTCCTTCTTTTTTCTGAAACAGAACAGGGGCTCCATAGGGTGCCTTGGAAGGTTGAAAGAACCCAATGTCCAATAAACCCCCAAGATGTCTCCTTAGCTCCGCTAACTCTGATGGAGACATTCGATAAGGAGCCTGGGCAGGGATTTTTGCCCCTGGAATCAACTCGATGGCATGGTCAATCTCCCTTCTTGGCGGTAACCTTGCTGGCAATTCTTTAGGTGCCATGTCCTTGAACTCAACCAGCAACTGTTGCACTGGTTCAGGGACTTGCAATGCTTTAGACTCATCTTCTTCAAATAAAACAGCCAAGTATGTTGCTTCCCTCTTCCGCAAGCCATCTTTTATTTGCAAGGCAGACAATATTTTCCCCGAAGACTTGGCCTTAGCGAGGGGAACAAAGCAGGGATTGGGCATGTTCATCACAAACATCCCCTGTAAATGCGACATAATAGATACCTTTGCCTTTGTAAGGAATTGCAGTCTAAGAGTTACCTAGAAATCATCGAGAGGGATTTTCATAAAATCACGTGATCCTTGCCAATCACCAACTTTTAAAGGGACTTCTCTTGCCACGTCGCATACTGGTTTTGCCTCTGAATTAATAGCCTTAATCTGGCTAGAGTTTTTCACCAAAGCCAGACTAAGCCACTGTACTTCCTGGTCAGAAACAAAATTATGGGTTACACCTGTATCAACCATTGCCTGGACAACCACATTGTTCAGGTGAATCTGCACAAACATCAACCCCCTCTTTGCCATTGTCTCCTCTTTGCAAATTGCATTAAGGAATTGTAATGGATTGACTTATGTTGGTTCGTCAGAACAATCAGTGTCCTCAGCCATGAGGGCACTGAGCTTTTTCTTCTTGGGGCAATTTCTGGCACGATGAGGGCCATTACAGATAAAACAACCCGAGTCAGCACCTTCCTTTGATGAAGAGGCTTTGTTAGTCAGTTTTTCTGAATTGTCAAACTTCTCAACCTTTTTCTTCTTCTTGTCCTTCTTAGGGAACTTGACTTTCCCTTTTGACTCCTTCTCTAGAGGGTTAGCCTACGTTTTGTAGTCAACCAGCGCGTCTGCTGTGGACATAGCAACGGGTATGCCTTTCACCCCTTGTCGACGAAGTTCTGTCTGTGCCCAAGTTTAGAGGCCATACATAAAGTTGAATAACTTGTCTTCCTCTGACATATTTTTGATGTCAAGTATCAAAGACGAGAATTGCTTCACATACTTCCTCACGGTGCTTGTATGTCAAAGTTTCCTCAATGCATCACGGGCTTGCCAAGCTGTGTTGCTAGGAAGAAATTACTCCTTCATTTCAGCGGACAGAGACTCCCAAATAGTATTTGGAGGACGAGATTTGTCGTCAAAACGTGTTCGCCACCATAATTTTGTATCACCAGACAGGTACATGCTAGTAAGATCTAACTTCTCAGCATCCGGAGTGCGGACTGCTTTGAAGTAGAAAGTTCTCAAGTTCTTTATCATTATGACTGCCTGTGAAAGGCTTAGGGTCAGACACTTTAGTTTTCTGAATGTTTTCACTGTCAAAAACCAAAGAAGCATTCTACAGTGCCTTCTTAAGCACTGAAACGTCTGTCTCGAGGGAACTCAATTTTTCTCCTATATCATCGATTCATGTGGAGATCGTAGCCAGCACGTCAACGACTTCGTTTTTCACTCGACTGAAGTGATCAAATTCAGTCTTTTGAAGTTGTTCATGTGCAACACGCATCTCTTCAAACCACTGATATAGCAACTCAAGTTGCACAGAGAGAGCCACAACATCACCGGACTGTGGAGGACCAACCAACTGCTCCAAATGTGCCACCCTTTCCCTCAGATCAACATTCGTTTCGCCAGCCATAGTTGATCTATTGCCAGAAACCTAGCTCTGATACCAAATTGTCACGGGGTAACTTTCGTTTTTCTTTCGAGGCTATCTGTGAAGGCGTTGCTATTGCAACAAGCCACACACAAACTCAAGAATAAGGGACAGAAACTCATACAGAAGGCACATACGAATTTACTAGGACAAAACTCCCAAACCTTATATATTTAACTCAATAATTTACAAAGACTCTCAAAGCCAGAACACACACTCTCTCTATCAGAATGCTCAAGCACCCCTATTTATACAGGAGTAAGGCAGATGACGCCCCCATCTACCAACGGGTAGTTACACACGTTTTTGTTATTCCATAGCATACTTGGCTAGTAGGCTTGGTCTCTGTGCGATATCTGGCAGGCAGTTCCATCCCTATCAGTAACTGATGTGGAATTGCCCTTTATCAGCATGCATCTGGACTGGATTCAGACTAGAGATGCCCAGAACTGCTTCAGCAACTGCCTTGACTGTGTCTCAGTATCTACAACTGCCCACATCCTCCTGGTCACATGCATTGAGCAGCCATATGCCCAAATTTAGCAGTCAGCCTTGCTTCACGAATCAATGTGCATGTTGGGTTCCACCCATGCCATGCAATCCGAAGCTATGCCCCCACATTGCTTCAATTGAGCCCACCACATGCTGTCATTCTCAACCGGGTGTTCTCATGCTGTCTTGGTTCGCCCCAATCTATCGAACCACTTAGCCGTGTCACATTGATTCCAACTTAGTGCAAGGTGCCACCAAGACCGGCCATTTGTACCCAAGTCAGTTAGGGTGTAACAACATATGTCAAAGGGGGATTTTATGTTACATCTTACGAAAAGTAAAGAGTTTATATTTAGGAGTGAGATCCCTTGCACAATATTTTCTGTATATATATTTTTTTGAAAAATTACTTACTGTTAATTTATGTGAGACCAATTATATTCAAGTGAGTCCCTAAATCATTAATAGTGAATGATTTTCCATGAAGATAAATGGTAAAAAAAGTATTAGAAAAATTTTGGATCTATTTATTTTAGTTGTATAAAACGATTGTTGTGTGTTTTTAATTTGAGGGCGTTAGTTAATTTATCGGAATTTTATGTTTTGTTTGGTATGATAGAATAATCTAAACATAGATAAAATATCATATTTGATATAAAAGGAAAATAGAAATGATGGAAAAATGAATGAATCAATCTTATTTTTAACTCATTAAAATTTGTCCCCTAAAATTGGAGGGAAAAATAGATGAAAAGCTAATTATATATGTTGAAATGAATATATCCTATTTATCTATTTTATATTATGTACATATTAATTATATATATATACACACATTGATAAAATATGCATTTATACTTTTTTCATCCGCCCACTTTTCCATCCTACCAATTACCAAACACAAAAAATAAATCTAACTTTTTACCCCTTTTATCAATACAGAGGAGGAAAATAAGTATTCATCCCTTGAAGAATAGAAAATATGTCACTCTTACTTTTTAGCCTTCTATTTTTTTATCCACCCAACCAAACACACCATTAAACATAGAGAAAGAGATTACAGTCGTCACGCACAAAACTCTTGTTTTGTCTTTTGAATGAACACAAGAAGCCGCAGAAAAGTATCTATGTTCTTGCAACTTTTTTCATATAATCTCAACCTCAATAATGTTCGCAACTTGTCATCTTGAACATACAAGCAAGGACAATATAGATTTCTACAACATCCTTGTATTTATAGTCTTTATCCTCTCTATTTCCTCTTCAAAATTGAAAGTACACGAATCATTAACACATCAGACGAGGGCTCTATCATCAACATGTCTTCTGTCAACTCCAACGACGTGCACCGGATTTTCGAGATGCTTGACAAAAATGGTGATGGCCTTGTGAGCCTTGACGAGCTCAAATGGCTTCTTGAGAAAATTGGTTTCCACTCGAGCCTAGATGAGCTCGAATCATCAATGGGCAAAACAACCCTCGACCTTATGGATTTCTCATTCTTCTACGACACTATCATCAAGAGTGACATTAATGAAAGCAAAGCAACCTTGGAGGGTAACGACGTGGATAGTGAACTTGTTGAGGCTTTCAAGGTCTATGATTTGGATGGAGACGGATTTATTTCATGCGAGGAGCTTCAAAGCGTGTTATCGAGATTAGGATTGTGGAACGAGCAAGATGGCCGGGATTGTAAGAGCATGATTAATGTTTATGATTCAAATTCGGATGGGGTGCTTGATTTCGAGGAGTTCAAGAACATGATGCTGCCTGCCAAATCATAAGGTGTTTCCTTGAACAAAGTTTGATATTAGTACTATGATTGTGATGATCAGCTAGATTCAGTCTTTGAATATTTCATTTTGTAATTATTGCTGCTACTTACTACATGCCTCGGTTATATTGTAATCAGTGACTAAAATGAAATGATGGTCCTAGAAGTGTTACACTAGTATGTCAATTGTTTGCGGTTCATAGTATACTATTTGAAATGTATTGGTGGGGACAGACATTTGACAATTATTCAAAGAGTTGATTGTTCTCGAATTTTATTAATTTTGGTCAAAATAAACTCATGTTGTTACCTTCATTGCTCATCTTAATGTGAGGGGATTTATAAATAAATCTGCTAGAGACCGGCTAAACTTAACCAAAATTAGCAAAAATTAAAATTAAGGGGGATTCAAATGCCTTAAGCACATACAGGATCAACTCCTCGAAACACAATTTTTAGACTAATTCTACCAGTTTTTTCTTTGTAGTTTCCTTGAAGTCACGCTTGACAGTTTAAAAGTTTTTCTGATTTTCCTTCAAGTTGAAGGGAGTGAGATCTCCTCTAACATTTTGCAAAGGCACCTGTGCCACTCAGCCATCGTCAAAGTGGACCACAAACATGTGGAACTAATCTCCTGAGAAATGATAAAGGTTGACATCAATTGTTTCCGCCATGGGTTCATTAATGGTATCATGCGTAGGTTGACAAATAATTACACATCTAATCACCTGATTTTCTAAATTTGACCTCTGGACAACGATATGATACAGTATTTAAAGCACTAAATTTCTTTCATCAACTAGTTTATCTGCAATATTACATACATAACACATTTGAAAATGAGGTGCTGGTGCCCACTGTTTGTTGTTGTTTTTTTTGAATGGCCAATTGATTCTGCTAGCCCCATTGTACTCCAAAAAAAATAAAAAATAAAAAAATAAAAAGAAGGAAGAGTAGCGTTATTTGAATTTTATTTGCTTACCAAATTATTCTTGGATTGACAGTAGACTCTATTATTGGTTGGGATCCGCTGTCAATTTAATGATTGTAATGTATTATGCCAACAAATTAGTTACAAATAAACTCATTAAAAGCATGGAATTCTTGTATCATTTTAGGCATATTAGCTGGTGATCGTGATATTTTGAGATTAGTTAGGAGATGTCCACGTAATTTATCCAAGTAGAAAATACGGAAAAAAAAAAGAGAAAATAAATTTATCCACTTTTCCTTCTCAATTTTTAAAAAACAAAAACAAAACATAACCGGATAAACAACTTCTCTCCCAAAAACGTTGTTTTCGAAAAATTGTTGCTGCGGAAAGATATCTATGTTCTTTTCTCTGCAATTCCCAAGAACTTCCTGCAACTTTTTACTTTTGACGATTAGTCTTCGTGGACATACAAGCAGGGACAACAATATACATTTCTACAGACACCTTAATAGGGATTTGACTATGGTATCGTCAAAAAAATTTCGGTGTCATACTTCTAAATTTTATTTTTTCAAATGATGTTTTTACAATTTTTGTGTGATCATTTTTTAATCAAAGAATTTATCATTTTTATGGGTATTTTTATTATTGTTGTAGGTGTTTTTTTTTATCATTGTTGTGAGTGTTTTTTTACCGTTGTTGTGGGTGTTTTTACCACTTTTCTTAAGTACAAAAAAATTTATCACTTTTATTGATGATTTACCACATTTGTGGGTATTTTTATCATATTTGTGGGTGTTTTACTACTGTTCTTGTAATTATTTTTATTATTTTTTGAGGTATCACAATAGTGATAAAAGTACTCATAAATTAAAAAAAAATTACCACAAATGTGATAAATTTCAATATCATAGACAAATCCCCTTAATAGATATAGCCTTTATTTTCCTTACTTCCTTTTCAAAAGTGAAAAGTACACCAATTGTCAAACCCCGTGGATGTAGAAAGTAATTTGTTAAATAACCATCTATTTTCAAAATTTAAGGGTGAGTTAAATATTTGTCCGCCATCACATTTAATCCCATTTGCACAAACTAATAACAGGACGAAAAGAAGAAAATAGATGTGAAGATACAAGGAAAAAGACTCTTGTTGTATTTGGTTATTCACTTCTTTGTTCCTTCTTGGAATTGCAATTTCTTTCCCCAAGAAGCTTCAGACGTACGTCATAAAAGCAAGGAGTAACAACTTTTTAAAGTAAGGGAGCTTTTGTATCATTCTATAAATATTAGGTGATGATTGTGTTATTCTGAGATTACCAAGGGGAAGGCCATGTAATTTATCCAAGTAGAAAACAAAGGAAGAGAATAAATTTCAGACGAAAGCTCTTGTTTTGTTTTCGAATGAACGCAACAAGCCGTAGAGTAGTATCTATGTTCTTTTCTCAACAATTCTAAGAACTTCCTCTTACTTTTTTCATATGATCTCAGCCACAATAGTATCCACGATTAATCTTCCTGAACATAAAGGTGACGAGTCAAGATTCAGGTCCGATGTATGTCCAATTTATGGGTCGAGTCAAAATCATCCAAAAACAGGCTAAACTTAGTTCATGAACTTAGTCTAATTCAAAGTATAAGAGTTCAACAAAAATCAACACACGTTGAAGAACAATAATCAGAATAGTTATTACTCCAAGATAATGTATATCCCCAATAGTAGNCAAAAACAGGCTAAACTTAGTTCATGAACTTAGTCTAATTCAAAGTATAAGAGTTCAACAAAAATCAACACACGTGGAAGAACAATAATCAGAATAGTTATTACTCCAAGATAATGTATATCCCCAATAGTAGNAGAATAAAAAAAAGATAAAATAAATTTATCCACTTTTCCTTCTCAATTTTTAAAAAACAAAAACAAAACATAACCGGATAAACAACTTCTCTCCCAAAAACGTTGTTTTCGAAAAATTGTTGCTGCGGAAAGATATCTATGTTCTTTTCTCTGCAATTCCCAAGAACTTCCTGCAACTTTTTACTTTTNAGTTATACTACCCGATAAATTAGTAGTTTACTTTCATGTCATCGCCACAACTAGGGCTCTGTGCCAGCAGCATGTCTTCAATTAACTCAAATGACGTCCACTGGATTTTCGAAAAACTTGACAAAAATGGGGCTGGCCTTGTGAGTCTGGATGAGCTCCAATGGCTTCTTGAGAGAATTGGCCTNGAGCAGCATGTCTTCAATTAACTCAAATGACGTCCACCGGATTTTCGAAAAACTTGACAAAATTGGGGCTGGCCTTGTGAGTCTGGATGAGCTCCAATGGCTTCTTGAGAGAATTGGCCTNCACCTTAATAGGGATTTGATTATGGTATCGTCAAAAAAATTTCGGTGTCATACTTCTAAATTTTATTTTTTCAAATGATGTTTTTACAATTTTTGTGTGATCATTTTTTAATCAAAGAATTTATCATTTTTATGGGTATTTTTATTATTATTGTAGGTGTTTTNCTCCACACTTGCCTTGACGAGCTCGAGTCATCCTTGGGCAAAACAAGTCTTGACCCCATTGATTTTTCGTTCTTCTATGACAGTATCGTTAAGAGGAACATTGGCGAAAGCAAAGAAGCCATGGAGGATAACAACCTTGAGAGTGAACTTGTTGAGGCTTTCAAGGTCTATGATTTGGATGGAGATGGCTTCATAACTAGCGAGCTTCAAAGCGTGTTGTCAAGACTAGGATTGTGGGACGAGCATAGTGGCCAGGANCTCTTGTAATTATTTTTATCATTTTTTGAGATATCACAATAGTGATAAAAGTACTCATAAATTAAAAAAAAAATGACCACAAATGTGATAAATTTCAATATCATAGACAAATCCCCTTAATAGATATAGCCTNACTGTAAGAGAATGATTAATGTTTATGATTCCAATTCAGATGGGGTGCTTGATTTCGAAGAGTTCAAGAACATGATGCTACTTATCAATTCATAGGATATTCGAAACAAACGTTGTATCATGATTGTGGTTATCTAGACTTCGTATGTAGCTGAATCAGCTAAGATTTGTCTGTGAAGAGTACATTTTATTGTTTTATTATTTTTTGCTATTATTATTAGCATTGCTCATATTGTCACCCTTGACAAGTGAAAAGATATTGCTAGGAAATTGTTCTTCAACAAGGTTTTTTCTATTTTTTTTGGATCATTTCTGGTCTGTTTTGCCATTAGATGGTTATGCTTTTTAAAGATTTGAATAGTACCAAACAATGTGGCGCTCACATGATCATGCTAATTGATGGATCAATTCTGAGAGCAGAGGTTGTGACCAGTCTTTGCTAACATGAGTTGTAATTCGATGCACAGTAATTTTGTAATGACTGCGGTGCTCCAGAGTTTGAGGTGGTTTGGTGTTTGTACTGGAGAGATGACTCCGGCTGCGCAGCTTGGTTGATCTCTCAATGAACCCTGAGAGAAGAGGGCACCAGTGTTGTACCAACCAAACCACCTCCGACGGCCAAGTCAATAAATGAAGTAGTCAGAGCCCACCCTATAATCATGATTAGTCTTCATGGACATACACGCAATTACCAAGAAATTTTCTCGAGTTACATTGACATTTTCAAGTTTTTCTTTTTTCATCTTTTTTTTAACTCTATCCCCATCTTCCCCCCCCCCCCTCTCTCTCTGATGTCTCTCTGCCTTTACTCTCTCTTTCTCTCTATATATCCTTTATACATGAGAGAAAAAACAGAAAAAGCCAGATGCTAGCTATGCATTAAGCATCCTCAACAATTATAATGAAACCTGAATATAATTAAAATGGTGGAATTATGATCCTTTTGTCACCTAGTTGTAGTATTATACCTACTAATTTTTCACGGCGCAAGCACGCAATGGAATGCTCAAAACGCACAAAGGATTGAATAGGGTGGATTGTTGAGGAAATTTTCGCCCGAGTGTGTGCACGCACATGTTTGACGAGTCTTCTCTTCAATCCATCCAGGAGATTTACCCTAGTAATTTCATAAAAGTATCATTGACAAATCTTGAATTAAAAAACACCATTCAAATAGTTAGCACATTTTTTTTGAAAAGTCGCCATTACTAAGTCTATAAGTAGGTGGTGCCTTAGACTCTAGAAATCACTTCAACAAATTTGTTTTTAGCGATGAATTTTGACAATGAACAATAAAATTTGTTGTAAAAAAATAATTTTCGGCGACAATTTCAAATGTTTGTCGCGATAAACTTTTTTATAATATTTTTTGTGACCATTTTTTGTAGTCGTCATCAATAATTTTAGCAAAAACATTTCCTCCAAACAAAAAATTGGCGCCAATGTTAGCGCTAAATGCTAATTTTATGGGTGACAAAAAAAAATTAAGGCCAAAATAATTTTTCGGTCGCAAAATTTTTGTCAAAATAACGAAAAATAAGAAAACAAAAATAATAATACTTAGCGACAATACATGTTTGTTGCAAAAAAAAAATTTAATTTTTTTTTGTTTGGCAACAATTTATATTTATTCGCAGAATATCACTACAAGAAAAAACGTTTTACTGCGACAATTTTTTACGACGTGTAAGAAAAATTATTGCAAAAAAAAAAAGAAGACATTCTACGACAAATATTACGTTTCGTTGCAAAAAAGTATTATAATGATCTTTAATGATTAAAGCACTTCAGTGAATTTATTTTGATTTATTACAAGGACAATAATAATCATAAAATATGACTCTTTAGAACTGATTTTGTTTGGAGATGAGTACATCTATCAAAATCTAACATGACACGATTAACTGACACGAATCAACACGAATTAAGCGGGTTTGAGTGAGATCTTAACAGGTTTGGGTGGTAAACAAATTGACCCGTCAGACATGTTTAATAAATTAATCGTGTTGGGTGAGACCTTTCAAACCGTTTATCACACATGTGTTAAATAAAATTAATATAATAATAAATTAATAATTATTTAAAAAATTTAGCCAGAAAAAAAGATTAAAAGAAATCAACACCCAAAAAAAAAGAAATAAAACAGTAGTTCAAAGACAAAAAGAGGGGAGATAGGGAGATGAGTAACGGTTCAAAGACAAAGGTAAATCAATGCCTTTTATTTTTGTCCTATATCAGCAAATGAGGTGAAATGAGGAGGGTTGTCTTACCTGTAAAAGACAGTGGTCTCTTGCCTTTGTTTTTTAGCCTTAAAATTTAATTTTTATGTGAGATTTGAATAAAAATTCCTCTTTTTTTAGATAAGTACAACTGATAGTAAAAAAAGTAAAGTAAGAACAATGAAGTATTAAAATTTGTTAATATAATTTTTTAAAAATTTAACGGGTTAAACGAGTCGTATTGTGTTACTCGTTTATTAAACGGGTTGTGTTTGTATTGAGATTTTTCACCCGTTTATTAAACGTATCGTGTATAGGTTTACATATTTTTTACCTACTACCCATTTAATCCCACACGTTTGACACCTTTAGTGATGAATAAAATTTAGTCGCTAAAAATCTCTTATTTTTGTGACAAATAAATTTTGTCGCCTATTATTTAAAGGTGAGGGTATTCATTTGTTATTTGACGTTGAAAATATGTTAGTCGTAAAAAATGTACCTTGATTTTCAACGACAAATATTATATCATCGCCAAAGAGAAAAAATATAACTATAATATAATTTGGCGACGAAAGTTTTTTTCTGACAAGAAGATGAATTTTTGAGCAACTAAATTTTTTGTCACTAATATTCTATTTTAGCGACGATACTTTAATTGATCATCAAAAATTTTCAGTGACGAACTTGCCACGATAAGTTAGNGTAAAATTATTACAACATTTGTTTTAACGCTAAAAAAATTATAACAAAGTTATCAAATATGTTAAATTAAAATAGGTAAAATAAATTGGGGGAATATGAAATTAATTAATAGTTGAGGGTGTAATATATGAAAAATATGAGGCAAAAATTGAAAAAAAAGTGAAAATTTTGAGGTATAAGTGATATTTACTGAAGATAAAATCTGGATGCTCAAAAGAATGATTGTGATCGCTGGATCCAAGTGTGATCGCTCACTATAGCGATCACGTTTTCTTCTATTCCTGATTGTTGGATTCAAGTGTGATCGTTCACTATAGTGATCACGTTTTCTTCTATTCGCAATCGCCGGATCTAATCCCTGGATCCAATCGTGCGATCTGGATCCAAGTTTAATCGGTTACTAGCAATCAAACTTTTTCTTCTATTCCCCCAAGCATAGCAAACCGAAAACCCAACTCCTCAAACCCTAAATCAGCCATCTAACCCCAAATCTAACCCTAAACCAGCTATCTAACCCCAAATCTAACCCTAAATCAGTGATCTAACCCGAAATCTAAGCCCAAATTTGTGAAAACGCATCCTGATTGCATACTCAAAACCCTAAATCAGGTGAGTGCTTCAAAGTTTGGCGCCCTAATCATCTCGAAACAGCCTGCATCGTGCTTTTCCATCAGAGAAGGGAGAGAAAGGTGCCTGTGACTTGGGGTGTCGTGGTTGTTTAACTTGCGTATGGGGTGTATATTGTCATGAGAATTCAGCTCCACTATAATAGTTTTTTTTTTGTTTAATTAGCGAAAAAACAAGTTTATTTCGTCATAATTTTTTATACATAGTTGTGTCTGTCTCTCTGAATTTCATAAAATTTTTTGTACAAATAGTTGCATGTGTTTTGGGGTTGAACGAATTATGGTTTTGTGAGTGATGGTTCAAACAATCCTATCTTCCTCACATCTTCAATTGTTATTGCTCAAAATAATAGATAATTGTCCATGTTATTGCTTTTTTGAGTAGATTTTTTTTTTTGTTACAACAGAATGACCGGTAGAAAGAAATATAGGCCAAAAGTTGTGGATACCAGTGAAAAAATGAAGAGGAAGAAAAGTTATAACGATCCTCCCTCCTCCTCCTTGAAGAAGAAATGTAATCATTCTTCCTCCATGGATCCAACTGTTGATCCCACCTCCACCAATCCCACCTCCTTCAATCCAGTTGATCCCACTGTTAATCATCCACCAAGTTCATCCAACCCCAATCCAAGTTCATCCAACTCCATATGCAATGAGGAAATATCTTTCTTCAACAAAGATTGCAAACAGTGGTCTGAAAACTACATTAATTATAGGCCTTTGTTATTGGAGAGGGGTGTTTTTGCTAGATCAATTAAAAGAGGTAGGATGTGATGTTATTTTTTTATCTTCATCAATGGAATTCTGCGGTAGATATCAAGAAGATGGATAATGCATATAATACATTGGTGAAGATATTTTATTCTAATATGCATGATATTGATAGAGATAATTACAAGCTTAAGTTCCTTGTGAGGAACGTAAGTTTTGAAGTAACTCCAGAGTTAGTTTAAAAAATATTGGGAGTTCGCCGACCCTTCATTTCTAATAATACCCTTACCTATCCATTCAAGAATTTTAAGGACATACCTAAACTGAAAGATGTTCATGCAGAAATTGATGGTATACCTAATAAATTTAGTGAGAGTGTTGACGATCCAGAATTTTTTTAGCAAGACCTTACTCCCAAATATTGGATGTTAAATCTTATAGTGGGGTACAATATTATACCAAAAGGACATACTACTAAATTTGGACTTCATCGAGCTCATCTCTTGTATGCCATTGGAAAATGTATATGTATAGATTTACCTTGTTTAATAGTTGATGAAATTATTTTGGTACAAGGTANAACTCCCAAATATTGGATGTTAAATCTTATAGTGGGGTACAATATTATACCAAAAGGACATACTGCTAAATTTGGACTTCATCGAGCTCATCTCTTGTATGCCATTGGAAAGGGTATATGTATAGATTTACCTTGTTTAATAGTTGATGAAATTATTTTGGTACAAGGTATAAAGGATAGGTGACGATGTCTCCCATTCCCAATTTTAATTTCAAAGATTATGGAGGATTGTGGAGTTGTGATTCACTCAAGCGACACTTATTCCACTCCCATGAATCCAATTTATGGTGGGACAATAAAGAAGAGTTTGGCGCAAGGGAAGAAGAATACAACTTAGCAACCGCAGCCAAAAGTCAAGAATGAAGTTGAAGCTGAGGATGATGAAGCCCAAATCTAGGATGTCCCAAATTCTTCAACTGCTGGTGTACCAAATTCTTCCACAGCTGGTGTCCCAAATTCTTCCACAGCTGGTTTTCCTCTTGATGCATTGCAGGTATATGGAATGTTGCTAGTACGATTGGGTAGAANGGATGTCCCAAATTCTTCAACTGCTGGTGTACCAAATTCTTCCACAGCTGGTGTCCCAAATTCTTCCACAGATGGTTTTCCTCTTGATGCATTGCAGGTATATGGAATGTTGCTAGTACGATTGGGTAGAAAGATGGAGGAATTTGAAAATTCTCAAAATGAAATAAAGGATACTCAAAATGAAATAAAGGAGTCTCTGAAGAGAATGGATAGTAGGTTGGATAGAATTGAGTCTTTTTTTTATGAAAAGAAAATAAATAGCTAGGAAGTGACAATTGTATGTAATTGTAGTTATTGGTTTTTGATACAATAGTTGAAGTAACAGTAGTGACAATTGTATGTAATTATAGTTGAACTAGCAGTAGTGTTTTTGTCAAAAATCTAAAATATCTTTGTTCTTTATACATAANAATTGTATGTAATTGTAGTTATTGGTTTTTGATACAATAGTTGAAGTAGCAGTAGTGACAATTGTATGTAATTATAGTTGAACTAGCAATAGTGTTTTTGTCAAAAATCTAAAATATCTTTGTTCTTTATACATAAAATGAGAATAATAATGATTGTGATAAGCATGGTTGTGGTAATTTAGTACTAAGATTGCTGAGCAGTTGAAAATTGGAATGGATTGGTATGCTGGGATGAAGATGGCAGAATGGAGCTGGTGCTTTGCTGCAGTCTGTTCTGTGTACTGATGCAGTTGACTGAGCAGCTAAACTGGTCTGGTTTGTTGGGATTGAGTTGGTAGGATGTTACCCAGCAGTTTCAGGAATGTTGCATTTGTACAGAAAACCTGTTTTGCTTTGTTGTTCTGTTTTCTGTTATAAATCAGAAATACAGTTTTCTGGTTTTTCGGTTAAACAATTTTTGTTTTTTTTTATTCTTGTAATTTTGAGATTTATGCAATAAAATTTGAGATTTAAAAAAAATTAAAAATCCCTTGATCCCACTATTGATCCACTGCACCTATCGGTGTGAAGCTATTGATAGCTACTCTTGGTCACTTGATCCCAATCTTGATTGCAAACCTCACTTGATCGATCAAGGATTGCTAACCTCACTTGATCCCACTGTTGATTGCTAACTTGATTGGATCCACTTGATTGATGGCAAACCTGCACTTGATCCATTATCAAAATAATGGTAATAGTAACTAAATAATGGTAATATTAACCAAAAAAAAGTGGTACTTCACAAAAAAAGTGGTAATGTTAATCACAAGTTTGGTAATGTTAACCAAAAAAATGTAATCTTAACCAAAAGTAATGTTAACAATGTAATGTTAACCAAAACATAACCAATAAAATGGTCCTACCTCAACATGTAATCTTACCTAAAAGAGTTGTACTCTTAACCAAAACAGTGGTAATCTTAACCAAAAAAATTGTAATGTTATCCAAAACAGTGGTACTCTTAACCAAAATAGTGGTACTGTCTACGAAAATAATGGTAATGTTAACCAAAAGAGTGATACTCTTAACCAAAATAGTGGTAATCTTAACCAAAAAAGTGATAATATTATCCAAAACAAAGGTACTTTTAACCAAAATNTTAAAAATCCCTTGATCCCACTATTGATCCACTGCACCTATCGGTGTGAAGCTATTGATAGCTACTCTTGGTCACCTGATCCCAATCTTGATTGCAAACCTCACTTGATCGATCAAGGATTGCTAACCTCACTTGATCCCACTGTTGATTGCTAACTTGATTGGATCCACTTGATTGATGGCAAACCTGCACTTGATCCATTATCAAAATAATGGTAATAGTAACTAAATAATGGTAATATTAACAAAAAAAAAGTGGTACTTCACAAAAAAAGTGGTAATGTTAATCACAAGTTTGGTAATGTTAACCAAAAAAATGTAATCTTAACCAAAAGTAATGTTAACAATGTAATGTTAACCAAAACATAACCAATAAAATGGTCCTACCTCAACATGTAATCTTACCTAAAAGAGTTGTACTCTTAACCAAAACAGTGGTAATCTTAACCAAAAAAATTGTAATGTTATCCAAAACAGTGGTACTCTTAACCAAAATAGTGGTACTGTCTACAAAAATAATGGTAATGTTAACCAAAAGAGTGATACTCTTAACCAAAATAGTGGTAATCTTAACCAAAAAAGTGATAATATTATCCAAAACAAAGGTACTTTTAACCAAAATAGTGGTAATTTTTCCTCAAATAATGGGCTTTTTATGAAGAAAATGATATTCTTAACCAAAAAAATGGTATTCTTACCTCAAAAGTGGTAATTTAAAGAAAAAAAAATGGTAATCTTAATCAAAAGAATTGTAATGTTAACCAAAAAAATGTAATCTCTTGTATGAGTAATGTTAACCTAATCAGTGGTAATGTTAACCAAAAAATAACCAATAAAATGGTTTTACCTGAACATGTAATCTTATCTAAAAGAGTGGTACTTTTAACCAAAATAGTGATAATCTTAACCAAAAAATTGGTAATGTTATCCAAAATAGTGGTACAGAAACCAAAATAGTGGTAATGTCTACGAAAATAGTGGTAATGTTAACCAAAAGAGTGGTACTCTTAACCAAAATAGTGGTAATCTTAACCAAAAAAGTGATAATATTATCCAAAACAAAGGTACTTTTAACCAAAATAGTGGTAATTTTTCCTCAAATAATGGGCTTTTTATGAAGAAAATGATATTCTTAACCAAAAAAATGGTATTCTTACCTCAAAAGTGGTAATTTAAAGAAAAAAAAATGGTAATCTTAATCAAAAGAATTGTAATGTTAACCAAAAAAATGTAATCTCTTGTATGAGTAATGTTAACCTAATCAGTGGTAATGTTAACCAAAAAATAACCAATAAAATGGTTTTACCTGAACATGTAATCTTATCTAAAAGAGTGGTACTTTTAACCAAAATAGTGATAATCTTAACCAAAAAATTGGTAATGTTATCCAAAATAGTGGTACAGAAACCAAAATAGTGGTAATGTCTACGAAAATAGTGGTAATGTTAACCAAAAGAGTGGTACTCTTAACCAAAATAGTGATAATTTTAACCAAAAAAGTGATAATATTATCCAAAATAGATGTTCTCTTAACCAAAATAGTGGTAATCTTGCCTAAAAAATGGTACTTTTATGAAAAAAAATGGTATTCTTAACCAAAATAGTTGTAATCTTGCCTCAAATAATGGGCTTTTATGAAAAAAAATGGTACTCTTAACTCAACAGTGGTAATCTCAAAGAAAAAAAAATGGTAATTTTAATCAAAAGAATTGTAATGTTAACCAAAAAAGTGTAATCTTAACCAAAAGTAATGTTAACCTAATCAATGGTAATGTTAACCAAAAAATAACCAATAAAATAGTTTTTCCTGAACATGTAATCTTACCTAAAAGAGTGATACTCTTAACCAAAACAGTAGTAATCTTAACCCAAAAAGTGATAATGTTATCCAAAATAGTGGTACCGAAACCAAAATAATTGTAATGTCTACGAAAATAGTGGTAATATTAACAAAAAGAGTGGTACTCTTAACCAAAAAAAATTATACGTTTACCTCAACACGGTCATCTTTCACTCAAAAAAGTGGTAATCTTATCAAAAAAATGGTACTCTAACCCAAAAAACGTGATAATATTGCCTCAAAAGATTGTTTATTCTTTATATATAAAATGAGTTTGGTTCTTTTGGAATGGGGCATTCCTATAGGGAAGGAAATGCATTTGCAAACTCTTTCGCCAACCAAGGAGTCTGTGACAATGCTTCTCATACTCATACTTCCCCTTTCAATCTCAATCTACATACGAGACAACTTTTAATGCAAGATCAACGACATATTAAATCGCTACGGTCTAAGATTAAAGTTCTCTATAGATTCAACGTCAACTTAAATCTAACAACGTCAAAAAATTACTAAACCAATAAATGTCGAACAGTAAAAGTATTTTTACAACAAAGGTCTTTCGCTTTAAGTAATCTGAAAATGTATTTGTTGCATAGACTGTCATGAATAAAACTTTTCATNTTAAAAGTATTTTTACAACAAAGGCCTTTCGCTTTAAGTAGTTTGAAAATGTATTTGTTGCATAGACTATCATGAATAAAAATTTTCATTGTATGGAAAACATATCATGGAACACCAAATTGTTACCAACACATTAACTTAACCCTCACAGACATATTGATTGGTTGTGTTTAATGAGGAAGATATTACTATCACAACGACAATGAAAAAGAATGTCAACATGCATAATGTATAAGTTTCATTTAATAGATAAGTTGAATGGTCAGTAGGAATGAGAATGTTATTGGTGTGTCAGCACAATTAAGCATGATTTGACAAAATATCATCTAGGAAAAAAAGGCCAGATAGAAATTTTGTAATTAAAGTTAATCCAATGTCAGGAGAGTCAAAAGTACAAAACTTAGAACAATCAGAGCAAGGAAGTGTCCCTTCTCCAGTAGGCAGCACCGCCTCTACTCCCACCCCTGCTGCCCCAAAGTCAAACAACTTGATAGGGGAAGATGGAGAAGACATGCTAGAATTCAAGCTGCAATGACAAGGAGCAGACTTTGCATAGAAAAATCAATATTGGGCATCTGTCAATTACCAGCAGCTGTTATTTTTGGAATGTTGGAATGCTCAAAATAGTTGCTACACATTGCTCATCTTGGCTCTCTTAGCTACTGTTCACGTGACTGCATCGAGGGTAAGGTAAATACTTCCCCCAAGCTAGGTTTAATTTAATTTTTAATCAAAAATATTCTCTCAAGTTCTCCAAAAAAAAAATAAAGGTATATCTAAGTGAAAAAAGAACTTGGAATGGAGAATGTAAATTAAACCTTTTCATTCAAAAGGCAAAAAAAGTAAAATTTCATCAACCCATCTTCCTACATGAAATTGGTACTCACTGTGATAGCATAAATTTATGGTTAGATGACAATGATGAAAAAATAAAATTTGTGGGATAAAATTTATAATTTTTGTAATTACCTCCATATTACTGAAACTAGTGTTGATGTATTGTGATTGAATGGTAGAATCAAAGCTTGACATTCCATCCTAAAATAACAAGGAATGAGTACATATGAAAAAAAATATAAACATCCAAAGAGTATTATATGAACTTGATAGTTGAGGATACCCTCATTGACAAAGGGAATGCAACGGTCATCCTTTTTCGATGATGGCATAGATTGTTGCGATCCACCATGCTGTGAAAAAGGCATGTGGGGCGATTGGTCTGATCCACTAAGTTGTAAAAAAGGAATGTCTCGT